TTCTTGTCAAATGGATGTTTTCTAAGTGTTCTTCAAGTATTACAAGTATACAACAAGCTTAGGAGAGAGTACTTACGATATAGAAGCTTGAAAGGGTGATTAAGGTTCAAAAACACTAGTGTGTTCTTGGTGAAATGAAGAACATTTGATGATCTAACCAAAAGAAGAGATTTCATGGATGAAATCATGTGTATTCACTTGATATTGAAGGATATTAACAAATCAAGGGAAGAAACACTTACAATCTTGAAGATCTAAGAGAAAATTCGGATGGTACTTGAGAGAGAATGAGTTCTTTGGCTTGAAATGGTAAAAGTGATAAAAATGACTAAGTGTCATATATATATAGTATGGAGTTTACGGTCACCATGGCCGTAAACTCATGGTCTCTGGCCGTAAACTCCTCATTTGAGGGTTTATGGCTTGTTTGGTAGGTTACAACTTCTATTGGCACTTCCTTTGACTCATTCCTTTGGTGCACTAGGCTCAGAATGCACAAACAGACTCTAAACAGTGCTAAAAGTTAGTAGAAATAAGTCTGACTTTGATTGAAGTGAATGGTTTGTACAAGATAGAAATTTCGGGTTGTCACAATGATTATGAGGAATCACGTTCGCTAGTAGATTTTAAAGATCTGATAATGATCAATATGGATATTGGCTATGTTAATCGCATTCTTAAATTCATAATATGATTATGGCATCCCTCTTCATATTTTGAATTATGAGGAATGGCAAGGAAGTGTTTGAACTTTCAATACTTATAGTTATTAGTTATTAAAGGGTTTAAACTCACATATATGTTATCCAATTAAGGTGTATAAGATTAAGAAGTCTTGTTGGAGACTTATCGAAACATCGCATAACAGAAATTTGTACTTCAGTAAGAAAGTCAAGAGTATTGACTTCTAGAAGTCCAATTGATTTTTGGGTACATGTCAGAGCTAGTGGGAGCATAACTGTTATGCTATTATTGCATGTTGACAATATTGTTCGTAGGGAACAAAGTTCTCAATTTGCAAAGTTCAAAGTTTGTGTAATTGTTTTAGCTATGATAGACTTAAGGGAGAGGGCACTCATACTTGGTTTTGAATCTAACAGGTTAGATCGTATAGTTTAATAGAACTTAGTCATAGCCATATGTGAATATCATGTTGAGATGGTTCAACATAGGAAATTCAATAGATGAAAATATTATAGCAAGGGATTGAACATATATCGGATATAATGAATCGAGTCTCATATGCTTCAGATATAGGATCGATTACACATGTTGTAATATTCAGTTATTCTGATTTTTCCAAATGCCTTGAGCATTGAGAGGAAAAGGATTAGAATTTTTGTGTGACTAGAGTTGTTAAACAACTGTCAAGAATATTCTGAGGTTCACTAAATATTGGTTGCTTGTGGACAATTGGAAGTATGGTATTGTTTGGAAGGACCATAGTGACATGTTTTAGATTGAGATGATTCTTGGTCAAAGTTGATGGCCGTATGGGAATATGAAAATATTTCCATAATGGGAGTTGATGTTTGTTGTTTTTTACTTCAACATATGTCGCTTTTAGTTTTTTTCATGTTCCAAAAATATAAAGAATTTTTATAAATTTTAATTAAGATATAAATGTTTATAATTATAAAAAATAATTGAGAAAATAAAAATTAGAAATATAAAAATACATATTTACTAATGACTAAATTGCAAAAATAGTCACTATGGTTAGTTGATAATTGTCACTTTAGTCCAAAAAGTTTTGGACTAGCACTATAGGTCCAAAACTTATATTTTATTCCGAGTTTGGTCCAAAATATTTAAAATGATGGATTTGACCTTGGTATTTTTTTTTTGTTTTATTTTAATTTTTTTTAAACATTTTTATAATAAAAATACAAAAAGAAACATCCCACCCCTACCCCCACCTACTCAACCCTTATCCTTAACACCTTATCCCTATTTCCCATTTATCTATCACCTTCACTGCTAAACCATTGTCGGAGAACTCGTTGGAGATCTGGAAGAATCCAACGACAGCAAAACCCATCTCCCTACCTCAACTAGATGTGGCAATCATGTCGGGTTCGTGTCATGTCGAAAAACTAAATGGGTTGAAGGTGTTTGACCCTAACCAGACCCGTTTAATTAACATGTCATGTCGTGTCAACCCGTTTATTTTTGTGTCGATTTCGTGTCGGGTTTCGTGTTAGGGGTCTAACTTGAAATATATTGTGTCATATGAGGTTAAAAGATTGAACATGTTGAAAGAGTAGGAGTTTGGTAGGCGGAAAAGAAAAACTAATAGTTTGGAGGCGGAATAGATGAAGTCATAACAAATTCAGATGACAAAATTGAAAGAGTAGGACCTGGGGAGGCGGAAGACAAGATCATGAAGATGAGAAAGTGGTCAAAGGGACTGTGTAGTTTAGGAGAGAACGGAAAAACTGAAAATGAAGTCTTGATCTAGACGGCTAAGTCATTTCAACATTACAAAAGGACTCGATCCAAATGTTTTCTTTTACTTATTGTTTTGGTTTTGTATCTTTATAATTTATTTAAAGAACTCAAAAAACTTGCATATGAATAAACGGGTCATTTTCGAGTCATATTTGAGTTGAAATTCTCAACTCTAACCTTACCCGTTAAATTTTCATGCTGTGTCGTGTCAACTCGTTTATTTAAACGAGTTAAAATATCTTACCCAAACCCATTTATTTGGTGTCGATTTCGTGTCGTGTCAATTTTTTCCACCTCTAACCTCAACCCATCCCCATCCTCTCTCTCTCTCTCTCTCTCTCTCTCTCTCTCTCTCTCTCTCTCTCTCCTCACAAAACCCATATCTCTTCTAATTTTCAGGAAAATGAAATACAAAGACCGAAAAGATTCGAGGACCTAGGGTTTTGACGGAGATGTGAGTCGTTGGGTAACCCGACAGAGACAACGTACCTCGATGAAGACGATATTGTTGTTCCAGATCTGAAACAAGGGTTTTTTGGGGAAGATAATGGCGCTATGTTTTGTTGTGAGGACGACTCCAACGAAGGGTTTGCAAGCTCAAACAAGAAAGACAGCCGTAAAAAGATGGTGACGACTCTAGTGGCCGTTTAACGACAAATCGAGTCGGAGGAGGACGACCACCGCTTTTTCAAACCTTCACAAATACAGATCGGAGCTAGAAAGTCGACCACAGACATCGGTAGTGCTGCAACGACCCTAACAAAACCTCATTTTCGGTGATCAACAAATCTGGCGGCATAGGCGAAATCACTGTCGTCTTTGGTTTTCAGATCTTGTGGTGTTGACCGCTGGTTTTGGTTTTTGATTGGTGGCGATGGTTTACGGCTGGTAGCTGTGGTTTCTGGCGGCTGGTGGTAGTTTCAGTCTGGTGGCAGTTTCCGATAGGTAGTCGTTGTGGTTGTTTTCGACAGGTGATGGTGGTTGTGCTAGTTTCTTTTTGTGAAAAATTAGAGAGAGAGAGGGTTGAAATTTTCTTTTAATCAGAAAAGTATTTAAATAAATAAAAATACTGAAAATAAAAAATAATAGCAAAACTATCATTATAAAAAGTTCAAAACAAATTGAATTAAATTCAGAACAAAATCAAAGTTTTAGACCAGTGGTTTTTAGTTCAAAACTTTTTGGACGAAAATGACAAATTTAAGTTAAACACAAACTCCATTTTTACAATTTTGCCTTTACAAATTAATATGTAAATCATAATGATTGTATCTTTTTGATGTTGGGAGAGGAAAGCAGGTTCCTAGCTCAACAAAGAAAAGATGTCTTGGAGTGAACTCGGGGTCCCCTATTTGACGAAAAAGAACCGTTTTCTTTTTGTTTAGCATGTTGTTATCAGATAAATTTTTAAAAGAAAAGGAAAAAAAAATCCTCCGTCATATTGTAAAAGAATATTGTTACCATGGTTGTCAAAATCACGATCCTGATCGTAGGATCGTACGATCCTACGATCCTAGATATGAAAAACGATTCGGATCGTAAAATGATCGTATTTGGGGTAGGATCGCAGGTAGGATCGTAAGATCGTAGGTAAGATCGTAGGATCGAGATCCGATCCGATCCTACCTTCCCTTGATTTTTTTTTTATTTTTTTTTATTTTTTTTTTGCAAATTAATATTTTTTACCACTTTATGTCTTTTACTCTTTACCAATTTAACATTTATCATTTTGTATTGTGGCTTATGACTAATATTTTGAAGTTTTTATAACTTTTGAATGAAAAACTGAATGTTTGAAATACTTTTCATGATTAAAAATTATAAATTAAAATTATATTTTATTTTGTGGGATTTTAGGATCCCGATCTCAATCTTACGATTCTGATCTTGCAAACCCAAAAACGATCCTATGTAGGATTCCGATCTTGACAACTTTAGTTGTTACAAACGATAAACATGGTTTAAAATTTTTTATTTCATTAAACTGTTTAATAAAATCAAACAATAGAATTGATTTTGGTAATTCTTTTCGGTGATTTCTTAGTTATACCAAAAAGTGCAAAATTTATCTTTTCCGTGGCTTAATTTTCTTCCTGATATTTCAATTTTATGCTTCGATTCCATTTCGCATACCCTAATATCAACAACAAAAATATTAACCTTTTTCCCGAATACAAATATAGTTATTACAAGATGTAAACGAAACTTTTTCAGAAAGATTGGAAAAGGCAGAGTCAAACCTAGATCCTTTGACTCTTTGCTCTCATTAATTACCTTTTTCTCTGAATCACCAAAACGAACACACATTTTGGAACTCTGAACACGCATCCATATATATATATATATATATATATATATATATATATATATATATATATATATATATATATATATATATATATATATATTATGAACACACTCACATATCTGTCTGTCTCTCTCTTTGAAGATGCTCAAGTGCATCAAGATCCAATCACACCCATCTCAATGAAACTCCATTAGCACACACTCTCTCTTTCTCTTTCTCTCTACTTTTATCTCTCTGAAAAATGGAGATTCACTTCCACCAGAAACACAACCAAATGACACATGAATCACCAGCAAAATCTCTCTCTCCTCATTCATCTCATGCCAGTTTCCCTATCATAGCTGTTGCCATTATCGGAATCTTTGCCACCATCTTTCTCTTAGTCTTTTACTACATTTTCGTCATTAAATGCTGCCTCAACTGGCACAGAATTGATATCCTCCGCCGCTTCTCTCTTTCCCGGAATAGAAACCACCACCAACCCCTCGTCCCCCACCACCTCCCTTCTCCGGAACCCAGAGGTCTCCATGAATCGGTCATCCGCTCCATCCCCATCTTCCAGTTTCAGAAACAAAAAGATTCCGATAACAGCATCGGAGAATGCGCCGTTTGTCTTGCTGAGTTTCAGCACGACGAGAAGCTGCGGATGATACCCAACTGTGCACATGTATTTCATATAGACTGTATCGATGTTTGGTTACAAAACAATCCAAACTGCCCGCTTTGCAGGAACAGTATTTCCATTTCCATACCTCCACATTTTCCGGTACCGGACCACCAACAACTGATTCCTCCGCCAGCTTTGGATGAAGAAGATTATGTTGTGATTGATTTATGCAGCAGCAACGGCAATGGCGGTGGAGGAAGTACTGGCCAAACAAACGACGGAGAAGATCTCCAGCCAACCTCCGGCGAAGCCATTGGAATCACTCCTTCTCCTAGGAAGAAAACGGGGAAGAAATTGAGAAAAAAATACGGTCTTCTTTCAAGCATGGGAGATGAATGCATTGATGTTAGTAGTAGAAGAAAGGGCGATGATCAATTCTCAATTCAACCTATTCGAAGATCGTTTTCCATGGATTCAGCATCCGATCGACAGCTTTATTTAGCTGTTCAAGAAATCATTCAAAGGAACCAGATGAATAATGTAGAAGCAATTGAATCCATCAATGAATGCAGTAGTACGGGTACTAGTAGTAGCAGGCTTAGAAGAGGCTTCTTTTCATTTGGCCACGCAAGAAGTGCAGTTTTACCACTTCATTTGAAGACATAATTTATTATATGATTTTTTTTTTTTAAATAGCTGATAATTTTTTAATTAATTTGTCAAATTTTGATATAAATTTTATTAAAGTTATTGGGACATGAGCTTTGATTCATCTTCTTTGGTTGGTCCAATGTATGATTGAGATTTGAGAGTTACTAAATTTATCATTTAATTGTATGATTGGAAGGCTGACTTGTTTGGTATTGTGCATGTGTGTGTAAACAGGGAAAAAGTGTACAACTTATGTGGGTGAAATATTTAAATGGATTATAATTTTTGTTCGGTGTGTAATAAGTGGAGAGAAATTAATTTACTTAATGGACTTTTATTAGAAAATTAGCAGCTTTATTAATTACAAAATATGAAAAGGGGGACCATCGCAGGTACTACTACTGTCTTTCTGGCTGTGTCGATATTGATAAACAAAGAGATAATTTGGGTACTTCGATTTGATTTTCTATATTTTAGCCTTTGGCAAACTTAAGAATGAAAAATTGTTAGAGCACATCCGAAATGTTTAAAATCATAGTAAATGTATTCAAAGAATTTAACAATGTTCGAAAATAAGCTTCTCAAAGTTTTTAGGACGTTCTAACTTTTAGTTTATTTAAAGGCACATTTCGTGTATGACTTACTAAATATCTAAATATCATATTTGTCCGGCCTAAATACTAAATATCGTATTTGCGCTTCTTAATGTTTCCTAATATCGTATATACCAAAATCTATTTTTTGATAATTTTTAAAATTTAATAATCCTTTTTTTATATTCTTAAATCATTAAAATTAAAATAAAAAGTGAATGGACCATAATGCCCCTTAATCTTAAATCCCTTTTGACCGGGATACATCAGTTGTATTTCTCCCCACCCACAAATCCTTTGTGCGTCGCTGGCCAGTTTCTCCGATTTCAGGTAATTTCGATGTAAGCAACACAATTACACTTCTTGGTTTCCAGAATCATAAACACTTATGTTCTATTAAAGAATTCTCCATCTGGTTTTTCTCCAAATTGCAAGTAATTTTGATTACATAAGTATCTTCTTCTCAATTTCAGGTAATTTCTATCTTGATTCTTCCCTTTGAACATCCAATAGAAAGTTATTGTAATTCGAAAAGGAGGCAAAGTTATGTAATTCAATTTGGATGTGTTTATACTAATTCATAACGATTGTTGGTTTGATAGAAATGGGTAAAAAGGATGGGGCTGAATCGAATGTAATTATCGTGCTGAATGGCCTCTCAACCAGATTTTTATGAGTATCTTCACCCTTTACAACGAAACCAACCCTTTCTTCAATTACAATTTCTTAAACAATCTTATGACAAATTTCAATTCTTTATATGTTGTTGTTGCAGACATTTGATTGGGTTCTTTTTGTTGGAATCTTAAATTCCTTAATACCCTACCAATGTTTTCCACTCCAACAAAGTAAACTTGATTCCTGGAACAAAGTAAGGGACACCAACAAGTGGTTGGGTCTCATGTGTATTAATTATAAGATTAAAATGATTCTATCAATCCTATATATATTCAGTGTATTACCAAGAGGGTTAAACACACCAAAAACACAGCAACATACATAGACATATACACATATATATGTAATTGGTTTTGAGTTATATTTCCAATCAATCAAAGAGTTATTTTGATATATATATTTGTCTGTGTCTTTACAATTGCAATATTAGAATTGGTATCAGAGCCTTGAAATCAGTCAAGGGGAACTGAGAAATCAAGGAAGCTTATCTGTTTAAAATGTCCGATATTGAAGATGATGGAAGTGGGGGTGCTGCTGCTCCTCCGACGAGAATCAAAGAAGTCGGAACAACCACAGTCGCTTGCCCAATGCTAAACCAGACCAATTACGTGGTCTGGTCCCTCTGTATGAAAGTAGTCCTGCGAATACATAGAAGCTGGTCAGTAATTGAACCAGGAGAAGAGAATGAAGAGAAAAATTACCTTGCCATGGGATTGCTGTATCAAGCAATCCCTGAGAGCCTGATAATGCAGATAGGGGACGTCGATAGAGCAAAGGTCCTATGGGAATCTATTAAGGCTCGACATGTTGGAGCCGACAGAGTAAAAGAAGCTCGACTTCAAACCCTCACCGCCGATCTAGACCGACTGAAGATGCAGGAGACAGAGACGATAGACGCTTTAGCCGGAAAACTCGCTGGAATCGCCTCGAAGTCAGCGTCACTGGGAGAACCCATCGGAGAAACGAGACTCGTGAAGAAACTCTTGACGGTGGTACCTCATCGATTCATACAAATCGTTGCCTCCCTCGAGCAAGTACTAGACTTGAAGACAGTAACCTTCGATGACGTCGTAGGGCGTCTGAAAGCGTATGAAGAAAGAATCAAAGCAGATGAAGGCGGAGACGGGCAACAAAAAGCGTTGATGGCTAAAACGAGTGGTGGTGGTGGATGGAGAAGTGATGGCGGTGGAAGCTCTGGATCGTCGGGGAAGACGAATTGGGGAAAAAAGGGGAAGGGTTCAAATGGCTCCGACTCAGGAGGTTTTAATCGGAATGGATCCGGGTCGGGTGGAGGATCCGGGTCAGCAGGACCCAATGGGTCAGGCCCAAGTGGAAACCGGCCCAGTTCGGCCCAAAACCCTAATAAGCCCAAAAACAAGCCCAATTTCAATTCCGACTCGAACCGTAACCCGAAAAAGGATCTGTCAAAAATTATTTGTTACAGATGCGATAAATCGGGCCATTACGCATCCAAATGTCAGGAACCGAACCCAAAAATTCCAAGAAAGTAATTTTACTGAACACGACGATGCCGATGAAACAGTATTTCTACACGAGTCCGTATTTTTGAACGAAGAGAAGGTGATACCGTCTCGATACAACTCACAAGAAAACGGTGTGTGGTATTTGGACAACGGGGCAAGTAATCACATGACGGGAAATCGTTCATTTTTCTCCGAACTCGACGAAGGAATAACCGGAAAGGTCAAATTCGGTGATAATTTGTGTGTCGAAATAAAAGGGAAAGGCTCAATTGTTTTCCAAGGAAAATCAGGGCAACAACGATTGATAACGGAGATTTATTTCATTCCGGATTTGAAAAATAATATTTTCAGTCTCGGACAAGCAACCGAAGCCGGGTGCGATATTCGGATGAAAGACAACTATTTGACAATGCATGATGCCGACAACTGCTTATTAATGAAGGTACAAAGAACTCCAAACCGCCTTTATAAAATACAGTTGCCCATTGGAGTACCTATTTGCCTTCATTCAAGACTAAGTGAAGACACGTGGCGCTGGCATGCAAGACTTGGACACATCAATTTCGAGTCAATGAAAAAGATGTCCAAGAAAGGTCTAGTCAAAGGGTTACCCCATTTTGACAGTGAGAATCAATTATGTGAATCTTGTTTGGTGGGCAAGAAAACAAGAAAGTCATTTCCATTAATGACGACGTACAAAGCAACACGACCATTGGAGCTAGTTCACGGTGATTTATGTGGTCCGATAACACCGTCAACGAAGGGTCAAAATCGATACATTTTCACACTAATTGACGATTTTTCACGGTATATGTGGATTTTTCTCTTAAAAGAGAAAAATGAGGCGTTTTTACACTTCTAAAAACTTAAAGCTTTGGCGGAGAATGAGCTCGGAAAGTCTTTAAAGGTGTTTCGAAGTGATCGAGGAGGTGAGTTTACTTCGCTCGAGTTTAATTCCTTTTGTGATATGAATGGAATCAAACGTCATCTTACCGCCCCATATTCACCACAACAAAACGGTATCGTGGAACGAAGAAACAGAACACTTATGGACATGACACGAAGTATCATGAAGGCGATGCATGTTCCAAACTATCTATGGGGAGAAGCGGTAAAACATTCCACAAACCTGATCAACCGTGTTTACACAAGAGTACTTGGTGATACAACTCTGTACGAGAAGTTGTATAAAAGAAAACCTAATTTGGAGAACGTACGCATCTTTGGGTGTTTAGCGTATGCAAAAGTTGAACCGGTAAACGTGAAAAATTGGATGCAAGATCAAGACCATTGGTTCATCTTGGTTCTGAACCGGGTACAAAAGCCTATCGGTTATTTAACCCGGTTACACAAAAAATAATCGTAAGTCGAGACGTTATTTTTAATGAAACCAAAGGATGGAATTGGGTTAACGAAGCTACACCTGACAATGAAGAACCAGGATCATTCATAGTACCATGGGATTTACCGGAAGATAAGGCAAACAACAACCAAGGAAACGATGTAAACAACGAACCAAACGAATCGGATCATGAGATTGAAGACGGAGTGGAGGTACAAGAAAATGAGCAACCAAGTCCGATCAACAACAACGTGAACAATGTTCAAAACCAAAGGCCCACAAGACAAAAGGTGCTTCCAATTCGATTACGAGATTATGTACTTTATGTTGATGAAATTGAAGAACTTCTCCTAGCAACCAATGACGAGCCGGTATCGGTTGAAGAGGCGAAGAAAGAACCAGAGTGGGTCAAAGCCATGAATACAGAGATCAATTCAATCAACAAGAACAATACTTGGTCTCTGGTAAACAAACCTATGGGGGTGAAGCCCATTGGACTCAAATGGGTGTTCAAGCTGAAGAAAAATGCAGATGGCACCATAAACAAACACAAGGCGAGGTTGGTTGCTAAAGGGTACGTACAACAACCTGGTATTGACTTTCAAGAAGTATTTGCTCCGGTAGCTCGCATCGAAACCATACGGTTTCTCATTGCCTTAGCCGCTACCAATGGATGGGAGCTTCACCACTTGGATGTCAAGACGGCTTTCTTACATTGAGAGTTGAGAGAAACCGTCTATGTGTATCAACCGGAAGGCTACATAAGGAAAGGCGACGAGCACAAGGTGTACCGTCTTTCAAAAGCACTATATGGTCTTAGACAAGCACCGAGAGCATGGAATACAAAACTTGATGGGATTTTGAAAGGAATGAAATTTCACAAGTGCATGAAAGAACCATTGGTGTACCGGAAGAACG